CCAGAGTCATGCATGCGCTGTTCAGTGTTTAGGTGCCAAGCTCTCCGGTTAGGAGTTCTGTTTCAGGACTAAGGCGGAGTTTCAAATCGGTGGATTTCCTATGCTAATTTTGAGGTCCGCACAGAGACAGAGAGAGAGAGAGAGAGAGAGAGAGAGAGAGAGAAGAAGAAGAGAGCTCAATACCTGTACAGATCGTTCGAAGATCAAGGTACGTTCTTCATCGGCCTCGATCTCAGAGCCGTTCTCAATACCTCCTGCTCTAACATCTATACAGATCCCAATACCTGTTGTCGAAGCTCTTCCCTTCACAGCCTCTTCCACCTCCCACAGCAACAGTAGCTCGCCAGCTACCTTCCCACTCTTTCCACCCTTGCCACCCTGCCACTCTTTCCACCCTTGCCACCTTGCCACTCNCCTCCCACAGCAACAGTAGCTCGCCAGCTACCTTCCCACTCTTTCCACCCTTGCCACCCTGCCACTCTTTCCACCCTTGCCACCTTGCCACTCTCGTTTCTCCCAATACCTTTCCCCCACCCGCACATCAATCGCTTGGAGGGCCAATGACTTCCGCCACGCGCGCGCCGAGGGTGTTTCGGCTCAGACCCCCGGGGCCAGGTCCCGCTGGCGTTGGCGTGTGTTCTTCATTCTTGACCCCCGATTGTGGCGGGCATAAACAGATCCATGGCCAGAAATGAAGGACACCATTTTAGTCTAGTGGGGCTTGGCCCCCGCCGTGGGGACGGGAGGGCGCGGGGAATCACCTCGGCCGATGCGCGCGCGGTTAGCCCACACTTTTTTCCAAGGCAAATTGTTTGACTTCTTGGCAGTCGCCGATGTCGCCGATGAGCAGGGGCCGCGGCTCCTTCCCGCTCTTCCTTTGGGGGACCCTGACCCCCCCCCGGATGCCCAGCTGGGCACAAGGGAGAAAGGGCATTCCTCCCCGGATGGCGGGCCTCAACTGACTCGTCACCACAGCAAGGAACCAAAAATAACCCGGGCGTCCTGACCAGCAGGGAAGACTACGGGTAGCATGGCCCCTACGCAAGGATGACAAGCATACAGACTGGTCGGGGTTCAGTCCGCGGTTATTGTTTGCTGGTCGGCTATGAGAGGTCTGCCTGATGTTCCTTGTCCAGGGGTTGTGTTTTGCGTAGTGGGTGTGGGTGTTTCTCTTTAGCGAATGTCATCTACCTTTTCAAAGGGCTTAGAGGGTGTCCAACAGCTACGTAGGAAGGGTGCTGTCGGCGTCGTCCCTAGGACCAGTCAGCGAAGAGGTCGTAGCAAAGTTCGCAGCCCGAAGGCTGCAGTATAGTGGGCTTCGGCGTCTGTGACAAGGTGTCACATTTTTTGGCGGCGGGCTACCAGGATGCAAAGTGGGTTCTTAGGTCACGAAAAATTGTCTACCGCGTGGGCGCGGGGAACGCAGCCCTAAGGTAGCCAAATCAATGAGACTAAGAGCTAACACGAGAGAGAGAGAGAGAGAGTTTTGTTCCATTTATTGTTACGAGTGTAAGAGAGAAAGAAATAGAGAGAGAGGGCGGGGGTGGCCTACCAGAGAGAGAGAGAGAGAGGGGGGAGTGGGGGACTAGAGAGAGAGAGAGAGAGAGAGAGAGAGAGAGAGAGAGAGAGAGAGAGAGACTGAATGGCAAAATTGAAATATGGATCAAATTGCAGCCGCGATCTATTTTGCAGTTGGAATAATTTTTTAAAATTTATTTACCGTTTTTCCTGGAAAGATCACAACAAAATCTACGAGTACTCCAATTTTCAGGTTTTTTCACTCATTCTTCTGAGCATGAAAACTCACTGAATTTGTAGTACTTTTTTAGTTTGCCCAAGCATGGCTGAGTGGCAAAAATGGAAAATGTGTCGAATCGGCGCGACGATTATTTCGCAGTGTAAATGATTTTTTGTAAATGTTCTATTATTATTTCTGGAAAGCACGACCTCGTCTATGGATTCTCAAAATTTCAGATTTTTGTGCATGTTCGTCCGAGCACAGAAAATCGTCAAAGTTGCCTCTTGCAAAACGCCTATTTCGTTGTGCCTGACCTCCCTGTTTTGAGAAGAAGGGGCTGAATGTCTGGGCCTGAGGGCCCTTTTGCAGTTCACATGCCCTCACTTCTTTTTGGGGTCCGCTTCTGCCCGGGGACCGGTCCAACGCCCCCCACTTCTTTTTGGGTCCACTTCCAACCGAGGACCGGTCCTTCCTTTTTCCAAAAGTCCCGGTTCTACCAGAGCTAACTGTAGGAAGTCCGCAATTTTGCCAAGGACCGGTCCCCCAAATTTTGTTGCCCCCTAAGAACCCACTTTGCGTCCTGGTCGCCCGCCACAAAAAATGCGACACCTTGACACAAACGCGGAAGCCCACTATACCGCAGCCTAAGGGCTGCAAACTTTGGGCGTCCGGTCCTTGGCAAAATTTACTTACCGTGAGGGCACGGGTGCGCAGCCCGTAGTTCGTTTGTTTATGTGGTTCGGGAAGGGTAAGGTAGTGATTATGCTATATGTATGTTTTGTCATGTTCGCAGCCCGTCAGGGTTGCGTTTTCCCTCGTGGAAGACATTTTTTGTCGTCGTTCGTTATACCGGTCGTTCATTCCCGCTGGTTGGTCGTTGGAAGGCTTCAAAAATGCAGGCACAGGCAGGCAGGGCACTTTAGGGGCTACAGTGACAGTTTCTTTGGAAATAGTGGACCGGTAGCTGCTCGTGGGACCGCGCAGGGTTGGCGCAGACCGCGGTCCTTGAGATGCGAGTTTCAAAAAGAAAAGGGCGCGGGGGCTGGGGCGGAAAGTCCGAAAGGCTGTGGTCCAAAATATTTCCAAACGGCGTGGGGGCCGTAGGTCCTTGAAATTCAAATATGAAACGGCGTGGACCCAGGCCTACAGCCTCATGCCCAGCCCACCCACTTCGGCCCAATCGGCCTAGTCACTGTTCTGGATGATTTTGTCTGAATCTGAAAGCAGTTTTGAGCCAGATTAGGGGGGGGCGGCAGTTCAAGCAAATGCAGGACTGGTAGCTGCCCGTGGCGTTTTCCTAAGAACCCCGAAGTCCAAAAAAAAATTGAAACGGCGTGCGGGCCGCAGGGCCTTGAAATTCGAATCTGAAACGGTGTGGACCCAGGCCTGAAACGGCGTGCGGGTCGTGGGGCCTTGAAATTCAAATCTGAAACGGTGTGGACCCCGGTTGTCTGCGTGCCATCTGGATTTGTTGTGTGCCATTTCTCTCTCTCTCTCTCTCTCTCTCTCTCTCTCTCTCTCTCTCTCTCTCTCTCTCTCTCACACACACACACACACACACACACACACACACACACACA